GCATTATTGGTTTATTTTCGAATTTTTGGTTGATATTTTGTAATTTTTTATGACCCCCCGACCTGTCAAAATTTGCAAAAAATGGGTTTGCAGAAAAGTGACCAGATCCCAGCACGGCTTAGCCCATAACTTTTGAAATTTTTACCCGACTTAAAAGTGAAATACCTCTCTGAGTTTGTTATTAAAATATCTATCCAGCTGCATTATTGGTTTATTTTCGAATTTTTGGTCAATATTTTGTAATTTTTTATGACCCCCGACCTGTTAAAATTTGCAAAAAATGAGTTTTCAGAAAAGTGACCAGATCCCAGCACTGCTTAGCCCATAACTTTTGAAATTTTTACCCGATTTAAAAGTGGAATACCTCTCTGAATTTGTTGTTAAAATATCTATCTATCTGCATTATTGGTTTATTTTCGAATTTTGGTTGATATTTTGTAATTTTTTATGACCCCCGACCTGTCAAAATTTGAAAAAAAATGGGTTTGCAGAAAAGAGACAAGATCCCAGCACTGCTTAGCCCAAACTTTTGAAATTTTTACCCGATTTAAAAGTGGAATACCTCTCTGAATTTGTTATTAGAATATCTATCTAGCTGCATTATTGGTTTATTTTCGAATTTTTGGTCAATATTTTGTAATTTTTTATGACCCCCGACCTGTCAAAATTTGCAAAAAATGGGTTTGCAGAAAAGTGACCAGATCCCAGCACTGCTTAGCCCAAACTTTTGAAATTTTTACCCGATTTAAAAGTGGAATACCTCTCTGAATTTGTTATTAAAATATCTATCTAGCTGCATTATTGGTTTATTTTCGAATTTTTGGTCAATATTTTGTAATTTTTTATGACCCCCGACCTGTCAAAATTTGCAAAAAATGGGTTTGCAGAAAAGTGACAAGATCCCAGCACTGCTTAGCCCATAACTTTTGAAATGTTTACCCGATTTAAAAGTGGAATACCTCTCTGAAATTGTTATTTGAATATCTATCTAGCTGCATTATTGGTTTATTTTCGAATTTTTGGTCAATATTTTGTAATTTTTTATGACCCCCGACCTGTCAAAAAAATTTGCAAAAATGGGTTTGCAGAAAAGTGACCAGATCCCAGCACTGCTTAGCCCATAACTTTTGAAATTTTTACCCGATTTAAAAGTGGAATACCTCTCTGAATTTGTTATTTGAATATCTATCTAGCTGCATTATTGGTTTATTTTCGAATTTTTGGTCAATATTTTGTAATTTTTTATGACCCCCGACCTGTCAAAATTTGCAAAAAATGGGTTTGCAGAAAAGTGACCAGATCCCAGCACTGCTTATCCCATAACTTTTGAAATTTTTACCCGATTTAAAAGTGAAATACCTCTCTGAATTTGTTATTTGAATATCTATCTAGCTGCATTATTGGTTTATTTTCGAATTTTTGGTCAATATTTTGTAATTTTTTATGACCCCCGACTTGTCAAAACTTGCAAAAAATGAGTTTGCAGAAAAGTGACCAGATCCCAGCACTGCTTAGCCCATAACTTTTGAAATTTTTACCCGATTTAAAAGTGGAATACCTCTCTGAATTTGTTGTTAAAATATCTATCTATCTGCATTATTGGTTTATTTTCGAATTTTTGGTTGATATTTTGTAATTTTTTATGACCCCCGACCTGTCAAAATTTGCAAAAAATGGGTTTGCAGAAAAGTGACCAGATCCCAGCACGGCTTAGCCCATAACTTTTGAAATTTTTACCCGACTTAAAAGTGAAATACCTCTCTGAGTTTGTTATTAAAATATCTATCCAGCTGCATTATTGGTTTATTTTCGAATTTTTGGTCAATATTTTGTAATTTTTTATGACCCCCGACCTGTTAAAATTTGCAAAAAATGAGTTTGCAGAAAAGTGACCAGATCCCAGCACTGCTTAGCCCATAACTTTTGAAATTTTTACCCGATTTAAAAGTGGAATACCTCTCTGAATTTGTTGTTAAAATATCTATCTATCTGCATTATTGGTTTATTTTCGAATTTTTGGTCAATATTTTGTAATTTTTTATGACCCCCGACCTGTCAAAATTTGCAAAAAATGGGTTTGCAGAAAAGTGACCAGATCCCAGCACGGCTTAGCCCATAACTTTTGAAATTTTTACCCGACTTAAAAGTGAAATACCTCTCTGAGTTTGTTATTAAAATATCTATCCAGCTGCATTATTGGTTTATTTTCGAATTTTTGGTCAATATTTTGTAATTTTTTATGACCCCCGACCTGTTAAAATTTGCAAAAAATGAGTTTGCAGAAAAGTGACCAGATCCCAGCACTGCTTAGCCCATAACTTTTGAAATTTTTACCCGATTTAAAAGTGGAATACCTCTCTGAATTTGTTGTTAAAATATCTATCTATCTGCATTATTGGTTTATTTTCGAATTTTTGGTTGATATTTTGTAATTTTTTATGACCCCCGACCAGTCAAAATTTGCAAAAAATGGTGTTCGGAGCAGACCGCCAGCACCTAATTTTATGCACATAGGTGTAGGGAGTTGGGAGCCGCTCTTAAAGACTCTCTTATGTTTGTTATCTGCATTATCTATAATCGTCAAAGCGACGGTATAAAGAAGCCGCGCTTTCGGCTTATCTCACCTCAGATCAAACACCAACTCATCTCGCATACATTGTTCGCGCAAATATCAAAAAACGAAAAAACATAAAGGTTGCAACTCCAAAATAAACATACTTTAATTAACTTAACCTACTCGTGCGTTATTTAATTACAAGGGTGGCATATTGGTTGTCTTCCCCATAAACATTTTGGTGACCCCGACGTGATATTCGTTCACGTAAATTTCGTTTAAATCGGAGTCTGCAACTCAGTTTTCGTTCGTTTTAATTTTGCTTAAACATTTTGCCATTTGTCGTCGTTTGCGGGCATTCGGTCATAAACACACAAACGCGCATACAAAGTGCATTTAGCCGGGCGTTTGATTTTGTGCATTTCGAGCTGTTCTTTCGCTTTTGCTAATCGGGCAAAAACTGTGAACAAATAACAACAACAAAACAAAGTTCCCTAACCTTTCGGTGACGCTTGGTGCTGTAAATTTTCGCGCTTTAAACCACAGGGTGTTGTGTGCAAAGCAAACTCTATAAGAAATTACTTTTTGCTTTTTATTTTTTTTGTGAATAACTAAAATGCAAAATTCGGTGAGCGATAGTCAGCCCCAAAATGGCCCAAGTGAGATTGAATTTTTTCGGGCCAAAGTGCAATCCATTTTGCGGCAAGTCAACGCGCTCAAACATTATTTAGTGGCCAACAATATCGACCAATTCGACGAAGCCGATATTCATGCGCGGTTAAAGTGGATCGAGGCACAGAACTTGGCGTTTGACTCCGCCCAGACAGCGCTGGAGAGGCTGGACTTAGCCGAGCTTACTGGCGACACAAGGATGGAGTTTTCAGGAGTCGTAATGGATGTGGAGGCTAAGCTTAATCGAGGCTTGGCGGCTCAGCGAAAATTGCAATTTGCTGGAGCCACAGCTGCCAATTCGACGAGTTTTGAATTAACAAATAATCCAGATTTTTCGTTGCGGTCTAGGAAGCCTCGATTACCAGCGTTAGAGATTGCGCGGTTTTATGGATCCTACTCCGATTGGCCGGACTTTTTCGCCACCTTCAGCACGGTGATTGGAAATAATGAGGGGCAGACTGGAATCGAAAAATTGCAATATTTACGGTCTAGTTTAGGCGGCGTGGCTCTGGAGACCATACGCTCGCTAGAACCTTCGAACCAAAATTATGAAAAGGCTTTGCATTTGTTAATAAATCGCTTTGATAATAAAGTTCTGCATTTTCAGGCACACGTGAAGGCGATATTTGGGTTGAAGGGTGTCGAGGAGGGATCAACAACGGGTCTTCGGGAGCTCAGCGACTTCATAAATTCCCATCTCCGAGCAATCCGGACCTTGGCCAGTGTGGAACAAATTTTAGACGGATTTCTTATTCACATCGTCGCTCACAAGCTGGACCAGAGGACTCTAGAAAGATGGGAAGAGACCTTGCCCATCGCTGAGCTTCCAGCATGGACTGCCATGGAGTCGTTTCTGGAGAAGAGGTGCAGGATGATGGAGAACCTGGATCAAGCCTTGGTAATCCAAACACCAGGCCAACAGGTGGGAAAAAACTTGCACAGATATCACTCAAATGCAATTCTTGCCTCTGCTACGACCCTAAATTCTACTGTATGCCTGTTTTGCAATAGTAAGGACCATTTCCTGCCGAAATGTTCGCGATTTTTAAATTTGAGTCCAAATATTCGATACAGAGAAGCAAAGAAGATGCACCTTTGCCTAAATTGTTTGCGCAAGGGACATAGTTTGCAACAATGTAAAGCTTCGCATTGCAGACATTGTCGGATGAGGCACCACTCATTATTGCACATGGCCTCGGACCCCTCCAGTTCGAACTCAATGTCGTCTCCATCATCCGACCCACTCCTGAACTCTCAGGCTTTACCTTCCACTTCATCAGCATTAGTTTCGCGCTCAAATTCGCAAGCTACTCAGCATTTGGCGAACCCTCCACCCAGAGCCTCAAATAATATGCCGCCGGAATACGTGTTGCTTCCAACTGCCATAGTTTATGTTAAAAACAGAGTTGGTGCTCTCATGCCTTGCCGAGCCATTCTAGATTCAGGTTCCCAGCTAAATTTCATTACTTCGCGCCTAGCTAGCCAGCTTAATTTGAAGCACAGGCGATCGCTCACACTCGTTTCTGGAATCGGAGAATCTTCTATGAGCGCTGATAGGGCAGTTGATATTCTAGCGCAGTCACGGGATGCAGGCTATCGTGCAGCATTCACAGCTGTAGTGACTCATAGTATCACTGACTATCAGCCTCATTTTGACATAAATGCAGCAGGATGGAGGATTCCAAAGGACATTTCGCTCGCGGATCCTCATTTTAACGATTCACAACGTATCGACCTCTTAATTGGAGCTGGTCTGTTTTTTGAAATAATTACTATGGGGCAAATTCATTTGGAAAACAACTTGCCAACACTGCAGAACACCAAGCTTGGTTGGATCGTTTCTGGAGGGATGTCAAGCGTTCCAAATCATAAGTCTGTCTTAGCTGCCGTTATTAAGGATCCAGTCAATCATTCTGATGATGAAACGCTTACTGCTATTGTAAAACGATTTTGGGAAATAGAAGACGTTAGCTCAGCGAAGCCAGTTGTGTTGCCTGAGGACTTGCGGTGCGAACAACTTTTTAAGGAAAACTGCACTAGGCTTGAGAATGGTCAATACTCTGTTCGCCTCTTGTCCGCTTCAGGATTCGAATCTTTAGGTGATTCCTATTGCCTGGCTCGTCGTCGTTTCAAGAGTTTGGAAGCTAAGCTAGATAGAAACCCAGCCCTGAAGGTTCAGTATTCGCCCTTTCTAAAGGAGTATATAAACTTAGGACACATGTCCCTCGCAGCAAAGGATCCAACGGTACCGCAATTTTTCTTGCCTCACCATTGTGTACATAAGCATGAGAGCACGAGCACAAAGCTTCGTGTCGTCTTTGATGGGTCTGCTAAAACGACTTCTGGTACCTCCTTGAATGACTTACTTCTCGCAGGGCCGACCATTCAGCAAAAAATCTTTAACATATTGCTTCGCTTCAGATTCTTTAAAGTAGCTCTTTGTGGAGACATCTGCAAGATGTACCGCTGCGTACGTGTTTCGTACCCGGATGATTTTTTGCAGTGCATCGTTTGGCGAGAAAATTCATCGGATGAGTTGAGTGTTTACAAACTAAACACGGTGACCTATGGAACAAAGCCAGCTGCTTTCTTGGCTATAAGACCCATGCATCAGCTCTCTTATGATGAAGAGGAGTCATTTCCAATTGGAGCAGAGATTGTTCGTAGAGATTTCTATGTCGATGACTTAATTTCTGGGGGCGAAACGATTGAAGAGGTGAGAGAAATTCGTCGTCAGGTAAAGAGTCTATTGTCGCGAGGACACTTTCCAATCCGCAAATGGTGTTCGAATGAGTCAGCTGCCCTCGAAGGAGAGTCGGACTGCGATAAAGAGCAGCTCATTAAATTTCATGATGGATCAGATATCGCCAAGGCATTGGGGCTAGCATGGGATCCTTCTTCTGATCAGTTCCTGTTCAATTTTTCTCAGATATCGTCAAGTAATAGAGTCACCAAACGGATCGCATTGTCAACTATAGCCAAATTTTATGATCCACTCGGGTTAATAACGCCAATTGTTACCAAATCTAAGATATTCTTGCAATCTCTTTGGAAGTCTAGTGTGGATTGGGATGACGCATTGCCAGAGCCCATTCTTTCGTCATGGGGGGAGTTAACCTCTCAGTTGTCGATCGTCCAGAATTTAAAATTTCCACGATTCGCAACGCGTCCGCAAGCGACTATCCAGTTGCATGGATTCTGTGATGCTAGCACAGCAGCTTATGGAGCCTGCTTATATTTGCGGTCGGAGGACAATGAAGGCACAAAAGCTTATCTACTCTGCGCCAAGTCGAGAGTAGCCCCGTTGAAGGCCTTAACAATTCCAAGATTGGAACTTTCAGCAGCACTTCTATTGGCAGAGCTTATCGTAAGCGTCAAGGAAACCATAGATCTCGATTGTGCCTTTCATTGCTGGTCCGACTCATCTATCGTATTGGCGTGGATTCGGCAACCTCCGAGGGAGTTCAATGTTTTTGTATCCAACCGAATCGCAAAAATTCAGGAGATGACGAAAGGAATGTCTTGGCATCATGTTCCGACCAACCTCAATCCGGCGGATGTCGTGTCGCGAGGCTGTACCCCTAAAGAATTGCTGGATCATTCTCTTTGGGCTAAAGGACCTCCATTTCTTTTGCAGAACTCATCGGAATGGCCTTCCTTGCTTGATGTAGCAAAGGATCTTCCAGAGCGTCGTGCCGCGACTCTAATTGGAACCGTGTGCGTTGACATTTCTGTTAACTGCAAATTCCTTAACACGTTTGATAAGTTGCAGCGTGTATTTGCGTACGTGTATCGATTTATTTCTAATTGCAGGTCCAAGCCTCTACTCTCAAATAGCCATCTTTCCGTTGAGGAGATCAACTCGGGGACCGTACTTCTTCTAAGGAGCATCCAGCAGATTCACTTAGCCAAGGAGTATGGAGTTCTTAGCCAGAGCAAGCCGTGTCCACAGAAGAGCAAACTGATTTCGCTGAGGCCAATTCTTGGCACCGATAGATTACTTCGCGTTGGTGGAAGACTTCAAAACGCAAACTTGGACTATGATACGAAGCATCCGATATTGCTTCCCAAGGACCATCCAGTCACCAAAGCAATTATCGTGTATTTCCATAAAAAATACATGCACGCAGGATCGCAGGCGTTGCTTGCCACATTACGGCAAAGGTATTGGCCGATTGGAGGTCGGAAGTTCGTGGCTAGCGTCATCAACAAATGCGTTAGATGCTTTCGGATGAGGCCTGTGACTTGGGAGCACGTCATGGGTAATCTTCCAGCGAATCGAGTTCAACCTAACCCAGCATTTCATACGACCGGAGTCGACTATTGTGGGCCATTCTATCATAAAGCAGAGTCCCGGAACAAGGCACCGCACAAGTGCTACATCGCCGTCTTTGTCTGCTTTTCCACGAAGGCCGCTCACTTGGAAGTCGTCCAGGACCTCACAACAGACTCCTTCATAGCAGCTCTGAGAAGGTTCATCAGCCTTAGAGGCAGTCCGCGAACTATCTGGAGTGATAATGCGACTAACTTTGTCGGCGCCAAGAGCGAGTTAGGAGAGCTGAAGGAATTGTTTTTGAGCGAGCAACATATAGCTTCGATAGCTTCTTCGTGCCTAGCGGACGGGATAGATTGGAAGTTCATACCTCCGCGTGCCCCACACTTCGGTGGCCTATGGGAGGCCGCTGTCAAATCGGCCAAGTTTCACTTCTACAGAGTCGTCGGTCCATCCATCTTATCCCTCGATGAATTGAGAACTCTGGCGTATGAGATTTCTGCTATTCTTAACTCACGTCCCCTCTGTCCAATTTCAGAAAACGCTGAAAGCCTCGAGGTGCTAACGCCGGCGCATTTCTTAAAGGGTTCCAGCTACACCAAATTTCCTGAGCCGGATGTCACGCATCTCCTTGAAGGCCGCCTCAGCAGATGGCAAATTGTGACTCAAATGCAGCAACTATTCTGGAGAAGGTGGAGCAGCGAGTATTTATCACTTCTTCAGGAAAGAAGCAAATGGCGTTCCGAAGGATCTAACATCAAGATCGGAAGCATCGTGTTGCTGAAGGAGGACAACATTCCATCATTAAAATGGCCACTTGGACGAGTTCAGGAAGTCATTCCCGGCGAGGACGGCGTCGCCAGAGTAGTTATGGTCCGTACAGCTACGGGCATCATCAAGAGAGCCGTCGCCAAACTGGCCGTTCTGCCCGTCGATTCCCAACAAGTTGAAACCGTGCCTCTTCCAACGGGGGGGATTATGTTCGGAGCAGACCGCCAGCACCTAATTTTATGCACATAGGTGTAGGGAGTTGGGAGCCGCTCTTAAAGACTCTCTTATGTTTGTTATCTGCATTATCTATAATCGTCAAAGCGACGGTATAAAGAAGCCGCGCTTTCGGCTTATCTCACCTCAGATCAAACACCAACTCATCTCGCATACATTGTTCGCGCAAATATCAAAAAACGAAAAAACATAAAGGTTGCAACTCCAAAATAAACATACTTTAATTAACTTAACCTACTCGTGCGTTATTTAATTACAAGGGTGGCATATTGGTTGTCTTCCCCATAAACAAATGGGTTTGCAGAAAAGTGACCAGATCCCAGCACTGCTTAGCCCAAACTTTTGAAATTTTCACCCGATTTAAAAGTGGAATACCTCTCTGAATTTGTTATTAGAATATCTATCTAGCTGCATTATTGGTTTATTTTCGAATTTTTGGTCAATATTTTGTAATTTTTTATGACCCCCGACCTGTCAAAATTTGCAAAAAATGGGTTTGCAGAAAAGTGACCAGATCCCAGCACTGCTTATCCCATAACTTTTGAAATTTTTACCCGATTTAAAAGTGGAATACCTCTCTGAATTTGTTATTAGAATTTTTGGTCAATATTTTGTAATTTTTTATGACCCCCGACCTGTCAAAATTTGCAAAAAATGGGTTTGCAGAAAAGTGACCAGATCCCAGCACTGCTTATCCCATAACTTTTGAAATTTTTACCCGATTTAAAAGTGGAATACCTCTCTGAATTTGTTATTAAAATATCTATCTAGCTGCATTATTGGTTTATTTTCGAATTTTTGGTCAATATTTTTTAATTTTTTATGACCCCCGACCTGTCAAAATTTGCAAAAAATGGGTTTGCAGAAAAGAGACAAGATCCCAGCACTGCTTAGCCCAAACTTTTGAAATTTTTACCCGATTTAAAAGTGGAATACCTCTCTGAATTTGTTATTAAAATATCTATCTAGCTGCATTATTGGTTTATTTTCGAATTTTTGGTCAAAGTTTCGTCATTTTTTATGACCCCCGACCTGTCAAAATTTGCAAAAAGTGGGTTTGCAGAAAAGTGACCAGATCCCAGCACTGCTTAGCCCATAACTTTTGAAATTTTTACCCGATTTAAAAGTGGAATACCTCTCTGAATTTGTTATTAAAATATCTATCTAGCTGCATTATTGGTTTATTTTCGAATTTTTGGTCAATATTTTGTAATTTTTTATGACCCCCGACCTGTCAAAATTTGCAAAAAATGGGTTTGCAGAAAAGTGACAAGATCCCAGCACTGCTTAGCCCATAACTTTTGAAATTTTTACCCGATTTAAAAGTGGAATACCTCTCTGAAATTGTTATTTGAATATCTATCTATCTGCATTATTGGTTTATTTTCGAATTTTTGGTTGATATTTTGTAAATTTTTATGACCCCCGACCTGTCAAAATTTGCAAGAAATGAGTTTCCAGAAAAGTGACCAGATCCCAGCACTGCTTAGCCCATAACTTTTGAAATTTTTACCCGATTTAAAAGTGGAATACCTCTCTGAATTTTTTATTAAAATATCTATCTAGCTGCATCATTGGTTTATTTTCGAATTTTTGGTCAATATTTTGTAGTTTTTTATGACCCCCGACCTGTCAAAATTTGCAAAAAATGGGTTTGCAGAAAAGAGACAAGATCCCAGCACTGCTTAGCCCAAACTTTTGAAATTTTTACCCGATTTAAAAGTGGAATACCTCTCTGAATTTGTTATTAAAATATCTATCTAGCTGCGTCATTGGTTTATTTTCGAATTTTTGGTTGATATTTTGTAATTTTTTATGACCCCCGACCTGTCAAAATTTGCAAAAAATGGGTTTGCAGAAAAGTGACAAGATCCCAGCACTGCTTAGCCCATAACTTTTGAAATTTTTACCCGATTTAAAAGTGGAATACCTCTCTAAATTTGTTATTTGAATATCTATCTAGCTGCATTATTGGTTAATTTTCGAATTTTTGGTCAATATTTTGTAATTTTTTATGACCCCCGACCTCTCTGAATTTGTTATTTGAATATCTATCTAGCTGCATTATTGGAATACCTCTCTGAATTTGTTATTTGAATATCTATCTAGCTGCAATATTGGTTTATTTTCGAATTTTTGGTCAATATTTTGTAATTTTTTATGACCCCCGACCTGTCAAAATTTGCAAAAAATGGGTTTGCAGAAAAGAGACCAGATCCCAGCACTGCTTAACCCATAACTTTTGAAATTTTTACCCGATTTAAAAGTGGAATACCTCTCTGAATTTGTTATTCGAATATCTATCTAGCTGCATTATTGGTTTATTTTCGAATTTTTGGTCAATATTTTGTCATTTTTTATGACCCCCGACCTGTCAAAATTTGCAAAAAATGGGTTTGCAGAAAAGTGACCAGATCCCAGCACTGCTTATCCCATAACTTTTGAAATTTTTACCCGATTTAAAAGTGGAATACCTCTCTGAATTTGTTATTTGAATATCTATCTAGCTGCATTATTGGTTTATTTTCGAATTTTTGGTCAATATTTTGTAGTTTTTTATGACCCCCGACTTGTTAAAATTTGCAAAAAATGGGTTTGCAGAAAAGTGACCAGATCCCAGCACTGCTTAGCCCATAACTTTTGAAATTTTTACCCGATTTAAAAGTGGAATACCTCTCTGAATTTATTGTTAAAATATCTATCTAGCTGCATCATTGGTTTATTTTCGAATTTTTGGTCAATATTTTGTAGTTTTTTATGACCCCCGACCTGTCAAAATTTGCAAAAAATGGGTTTGCAGAAAAGTGACCAGATCCCAGCACTGCTTAGCCCATAACTTTTGAAATTTTTACCCGATTTAAAAGTGAAATACCTCTCTGAATTTGTTATTTGAATATCTATCTAGCTGCATTATTGGTTTATTTTCGAATTTTTGGTCAATATTTTGTAATTTTTTATGACCCCCGACCTGTCAAAATTTGCAAAAAATGGGTTTGCAGAAAAGTGACCAGATCCCAGCACTGCTTATACCATAACTTTTGAAATTTTTACCCAATTTAAAAGTGGAATACCTCTCTGAATTTGTTATTAAAATGTCTATCTAGCTGCATCATTCGTTTATTTTCGAATTTTTGGTCAATATTTTGTAATTTTTTATGACCCCCGACCTGTCAAAATTTGCAAAAAATGGGTTTGCAGAAAAGTGACCAGATCCCAGCACTGCTTAGCCCATAACTTTTGAAATTTTTACCTGACTTAAAAGTGAAATACCTCTCTGAGTTTGTTATTAAAATATCTATCTAGCTGCATTATTGGTTTATTTTCGAATTTTTGGTCAATATTTTGTAATTTTTTATGACCCCCGACCTGTCAAAATTTGCAAAAAATGGGTTTGCAGAAAAGTGACCAGATCCCAGCACTGCTTATACCATAACTTTTGAAATTTTTACCCAATTTAAAAGTGGAATACCTCGAATTTGTTATTTGAATATCTATCTAGCTGCATTATTGGTTTATTTTTGAATTTTTGGTCAATATTTTGTAGTTTTTATGACCCCTGACCTGTCAAAATTTGCAAAAAATGGGTTTGCAGAAAAGTGACCAGATCCCAGCACTGCTTAGCCCATAACTTTTGAAATTTTTACCCGATTTATAAGTGGAATACCTCTCTGAATTTGTTATTAAAATATCTATCTAGCTGCATCATTGGTTTATTTTCGAATTTTTGGTTGATATTTTGTAATTTTTTATGACCCCCGACCTGTAAAAATTTGCAAAAAATGGGTTTGCAGAAAAGTGACAAGATCCCAGCACTGCTTAGCCCATAACTTTTGAAATTTTTACCCGATTTAAAAGTGGAATACCTCTCTCGGAATTTGTTATTTGAATATCTATCTAGCTGCATTATTGGTTTATTTTCGAATTTTTGGTCAATATTTTGTAATTTTTTATGACCCCCGACCTCTCTGAATTTGTTATTTGAATATCTATCTAGCTGCATTATTGAAATACCTCTCTGAATTTGTTATTTGAATATCTATCTAGCTGCATTATTGGTTTATTTTCGAATTTTTGGTCAATATTTTGTAATTTTTTATGACCCCCGACCTGTCAAAATTTGCAAAAAATGGGTTTGCAGAAAAGTGACCAGATCCCAGCACTGCTTAGCCCAAACTTTTGAAATTTTTACCCGATTTAAAAGTGGAATACCTCTCTGAATTTGTTATTAAAATATCTATCTAGCTGCATTATTGGTTTATTTTCGAATTTTTGGTCAATATTTTGTAATTTTTTATGACCCCCGACCTGTCAAAATTTGCAAAAAATGGGTTTGCAGAAAAGTGACAAGATCCCAGCACTGCTTAGCCCATAACTTTTGAAATGTTTACCCGATTTAAAAGTGGAATACCTCTCTGAAATTGTTATTTGAATATCTATCTAGCTGCATTATTGGTTTATTTTCGAATTTATGGTCAATATTTTGTAATTTTTTATGACCCCTGACCTGTCAAAATTTGCAAAAAATGGGTTTGCAGAAAAGTGACCAGATCCCAGCACTGCTTAGCCCATAACTTTTGAAATTTTTACCCGATTTAAAAGTGGAATACCTCTCTGAATTTGTTATTTGAATATCTATCTAGCTGCATTATTGGTTTATTTTCGAATTTTTGGTCAATATTTTGTAATTTTTTATGACCCCCGACCTGTCAAAATTTGCAAAAAATGGGTTTGCAGAAAAGTGACCAGATCCCAGCACTGCTTATCCCATAACTTTTGAAATTTTTACCCGATTTAAAAGTGAAATACCTCTCTGAATTTGTTATTTGAATATCTATCTAGCTGCATTATTGGTTTATTTTCGAATTTTTGGTCAATATTTTGTAATTTTTTATGACCCCCGACTTGTCAAAACTTGCAAAAAATGAGTTTGCAGAAAAGTGACCAGATCCCAGCACTGCTTAGCCCATAACTTTTGAAATTTTTACCCGATTTAAAAGTGGAATACCTCTCTGAAT